TACCATCATCTGTGGTGGGCTGAAGCACATGGCCACAGTATTTTGCAGCTACTCCTGTCAATCTGGGCTAGGCTTGTGACCAGTAGAATGTGGTGTATCAGCTCCAGAGCCTAGAACAGAAGAGATCTTGCAGCTGCTGACTTCACCCTTTTGGAAAACTGCCCTGAGGCCATCGTGCATTGAGGAAACCCAGGAGGATAGACTGCAGAGAGGCTCAACCATCCCAGCTCTACCAGCTGAGCTCAGCTGCCCACCCATCCCCAGCTGAATGCAACCATAAGAGTGAGCCTAAGCCAGGTGCAGTGGCTCACGGCTGTAATCCCAGCACTTTGGGAGGCTGAGGTGGATGGATCACCTGAGATCGGGAGCTTGAGACCAGCCTGACCAACATGGAGAAACCCTGTCTCTACTAAAAATACAAAATTACCTGGGCATGGTGGCGCATGCCTGTAATCCCAGCTACTTGAGAGGTTGAGGCAGAAGAATCGCTTGAATCTGGGAGGCGGAGGTTGCGGTGAGCCAAGGTTGTGCCATGGCACTCTAGCCTGGGTAACAAGAGCAAAACTCCATCTCAAAAAAGAGAGAGTGAGCCCAGGTGAGACCTGCAAAGATTTGCCCAATCAAAGCAAATCTGTATATTTGTGGGATAAATGCATGGAATGACTAGACAAATGAAAGACAGGCCAGAGCTTTGTGTGGGTTTTAGTTGATATGACCTAGTACTCAGTCCTACTTTACGAATTCTCTTTTATACATCAAAGTCCTTACTTGCAATGTGCTGTCAGGCATGAGGTGTTTAAGTGTCAGCAACCGAATCTGGTGTTGCATTTACTCTACCATAGCATATGTCAGGGGTCAGGCCCACACTGTATATGGAAATAAGACTGTCGTCTCATTTGCTATTACCAAGTGACTCTAATGTTACTGTTGTTTATCAAAGTTGGAGTGTTTAAATATTTTCAAATATTTTTTAACATATCTCCCTCTACCCCACCAGTGGACATTTAGCTGGGGTCTACATGCTTGTTAATTTTTTCTTATAATTTCCTTTTTCTCTCCACTCTCAATTACTTTTATTCTCCACTGGATGTGAAAAAAAAAAAAGCCTCTTTAGAAGCAGACTCACCGAAATTTATAGTAAATACTTAATAGTTCTTCATTCCAGAATACAAATTCTTTTATGTTCTACTAAAAATAACTTTGACTTTTATCCCCTTGTTTCATTCATCATTATAACCATACGACTTTTTTTTTTTTTTTTTTTTCCAAATAATCCCCACCGCAGCCCTCTCCAGTCAGGCTGAGAGTCCTCCCCCAGGAGCCAGTGCTTTCCATTCCTCCTCCTGGCTTTTTTTTTTTTCCTTTTCCCTAGGTTACAAAATTGATCCTAAAAATACTAAAATATTTGAATTGCTTTCTATTATCATAAAGTTATTACTTTTTCATTCAAAATGAATATCTCTTTATCTTAAATAAAAGTTGAAGCCAGGTACAGTGGCTCATGCCTGTAATCCCAGCACTTTGGGAGACTGATGTGGGCAGATCATTTGAGGTTAGGAGTTTAAGACCTGCTGGCTGAAAGGTGAAATCCTGTCTCTACTAAAAAATACAAAAATTAGCGGGTGGTATTGGTATATGCCTGTAACCCCAGCTACTTGGGAGGCTGAGGCATGAGAATTGCTTGAACCTGGGAGGCAGAGGTCGCAGTGAGCTGAGATTGTGCCATGGCACTCCAGTCTGGCTGACAGAGCAAGACTCTGTCTCAAAAAAAAAAAAAAAAAAAGTTGAAAAAATAAAATAAAAATAAAGAAATATCTCTTTTTTTCTCTCTCTTTGAGGATTACAGGTGTGCACCACCATGGCTGGCTAATTTTTGCATTTTAGTAGAGACCAGGTATCACTATGTTGGTCAGGCTGGTCTCGAACTCCTGATCTCATGATCTGCCTGCCTCAGCCTCCCAAAGTGCTGGGATTACAGGTGTGAGCCACTGCGCCTGGCATATCTCCTCTTTTCATATGGCAGAGGTTAGTCTTCTTTTTCTGGTGGAATATAGTAAATTGTTAAATTACAATAGCGTGTTGTTAGAAATCTTGCATGATATCTAATGAATCTGGCCTCCCTGTCTTCTGGCTGCATGGGGCACCACAGCTTTCCAAGGTCATGTGCGAATGCTGAGTTGGCTGCTCTGTACCAGGTGTGCATGGGACACAGGAACCCATCTTCTACATTGCTTAGGTCTTTCTTCCCTCTAATCTGCATATTAGAAAAGCATAATTTGGGACTAAATTTTGATGATTGATGGTCATGATTTAAAAGCTAATACTTTTTGATCACTTCTTTGTGCCAGGCATTTGGCATTTAATTCTCTTATAAAGCTTACCCACGAATCAGCATTTATTATCTGTTTTATAACTGAAGAGACTAAGGCTCAGAGAAGTTAAATGACTTGCTGAAAGTCACACAGCTAGCACTTGCAAAGCCAGGTTTCAGATTTCCCAAGCAGTGCTGGACTTAGTGCTCCTAACTGTTGGGCCACATCTCCAAACACAGATTTCTGGTACTTTTCCCCACGGTGCAAGGGATGGTGACTGTGCCCAGCACTTTTAGCAAAGTGCGTGCTCTGCTTCTAATGTAAGGACTCAATGCTGTTCTTTAATTGAACCTATAATTACTGTTTTGTTAAGTTGGGAAAAGCTCTGGCTCCTATTGTTAGCAATCATAGAAAGCGTTCTAGCTGGGCGTGGAAGCTCACACCTGTAATCTGAGCACTTTCAGACGCCGAGGAGGGCAGATCGCTTGGGGCCAGGAAATCGAGACCAGCCTGGGCAACATGGTGAAACCCTGTCGCCACTAAAAATACAAAAATTAGCCAGGTATGGTGGTGCACGCCTGTAGTCTCAGCAAATCAGGAGGCTGAGGTGGGAGGATCCCTTAAGCCCAGGAGGTCAAGGCTGCAGTGAGCTGAGATTGAGCCACTGCACACCAGCCTGGGCAACAGAGCGAGACCCTGTCTCAAAAAAGAAAAGAAAATGTTTCATTTTAAATAGACCTACTATATTATCAGGCGAGGAAAAGTTTAAAATAATGGTAACTACCATATTATCATTTTATAACTTCTATATTTTGTGTTGAATATTATTTAAACTTGTTATCACTCAGCTTATCATTATTATTATTATTATTATTTGAGACAGAGTCTCACTCTGTCACCCATGCTGGAGTGCAGTGGTGCAATCTCGGCTCACTGCAGCCTCCACCTCCCGAGTTCAGGTGATTCTCCTGCCTCAGCCTCCCAACCAGCTGGGACTACAGGAAAAAAAAATTAGCCGTGTCCGGCTAATTTTTGTATTTTTAGCAGAGACAGGGTTTCGCCATGTTGGCCAGGCTGATCTCAAACTCTTGGCTTCAAATGATCCACCCACTTGGCCTCCCAAAATGCTTGAATTACTGACATGAGCCACCACACAGCCAAATTATTTTTAATTAATAAGAAAATGAGCGGGGCATAGTGGCTCACACCTGTAATCCTAGCACTTTGGGAGGTCAAGGAGGGCAAATCACTTGAGGTCGGGAGTTCAAAGTCAGCTTGGGCAACATGGTGAAACCCCGTCTCTACTAAAAATATGAAGATTAGCTGGGCCTAGTGGCGGATGCCTGTAGCTCCAGCTACTTGGGAGACTCGCTTGAGCCCAGGAGGCAGAGGTTGCAGTGAGCTAAGATCATACCACCGCACTCTAGCCTGGCAACAGTGAGACCCTGTCTAAAAAAAAAAAAAAAAGAAAATGAGTTATTTATTCAGATCTGTTGATTAGAAAAGAGATGATAAGAAAAACTTCCTCTTTTTAAGAATGACAAAGTTACATAAAGGTTAAGTCTGTGCTCTCCGATAAGTAGCCACATGTGGCTACTTAGCATTTGAAATTTGGCTGGTTTGAATTGAAATATGTTGTAAGTGTAATGTACAAACCAGATTCTGAGAACTCAGGACACACATACAAAAAAGAATGTAAAATTGGCAAATTTTACATCAATTACATGTTGAAATGACAATAATTTGGATATACTGAGCGAACTAAAATATAACTATAAAGTTAATTTGCTTGTTTCGTTTATCATTTTAATGTAGTTGTTACAAAAATTTAATTATATATGTGACTTCATATTTTCTATTGGACAGTACTGAGTTAAGTGATTACTTATGGATAAAAGAAAGTATTAGTGTGAGTGGAATCAATCAGTTCATAGCATACATGTTCACCAGCAAAAGCATTTTTTTCCCAAGTGATAAGCTTAAATATCTCTGTGATATCAATGCTACCATTTTCTCAAAGTGGCACCCTGCTAAGGCTGCCACTACATTCCTAAGAGCCACGGGAAAAGGCATTTGCTCCTCTGAAGAAATTCTCAGACTGATTTTTCACCACAGGTACTTCCCTGTTCTTTATATGTTACCGATGTGGACCGGGGTAACATATAAAGAACAGGAAAGTACCAACATTTCCCATGTGGGTTTCAAAGCAGATGGCATGGTTGAGAGCAGCGGGCACCAATGCAGATCGGCCATCTCCGCGGCAGAGGCGGTTGTCTCCAGCGCAGCGGTGCAAAGCCAAAGGGCACCCACGAGTTCATTACATAATTCCTGGTAGCATGAGGCCAAGTGTGTATCTGCTCTGGGGGAACAGTCAGAGGCTCTGACAGTCAGACCGAGGCGGTCATGACTGTGTTTTCACAAAGTGTATGCTAGCGGTTGTTTGTTTGGAAAAAGACTGACCAGCTTTTCTTCCCTGCTCCTTTCCCCGCTCTCTTTTTTTCCCTTGTAAACTCTCTGGCATAATACTGAATGACTTTGTTTTTAAGCTGCCTTAGGCTTGCTTTGTGAAGAAAAAGACTGAATATCCTTTCCCTGTGGGACACAAGTTGTTATTTTTGGAGCAGAGGTTCTTAGCCTGATCTCTGTCTAGATCAATTTCTGTCTTGATGAGGCCATGGTCCGTGACAGCTCCGAGTGTCCTCCGAGGAGGGAGGCTTCCTCACTTGGTGGGGAGCCTGGGCAAAGATGTCTAGGGGCCACATCCGACACTTCACTGCTCTTGGTCTCCACACGAAGGGTCCTGGGCATTCAGAGTCTGCTCATTAGATTGTGCCCTTGGAATAGTCGCGACCGCATGCCGTGAGTGGTGTGCTTTCTGTCTTTGGGATCATGGAAAATTCTTGTCTCATTCAGAGCCCAGACACTCCAGGCCAACTCCCTTCATCTATCTATTTCAGGAATATGGCTTTTTCTGCTTATTCACTTCATGGTACGTTTTGGGTGGAGATGACCCCTCTTTTAACCCAGATCACAGACTCCAGGTCACAGATGCCTCAGAGCTAAGAAAGCTGGAGGATTTCTGCAGGCTATTTGGGATGCATCTGCCTTGGCCAACACTGGAGACTCATCGGGCTTCTAGGAACATGTTTCCGGACTCAAAACTCAGAGCATCCCCTCTGTAACCTGCTCTTCGTGTTAGGCTGCGAGACCCCGGGAGAAAACTGCTCTGACTTCTCAACAGTTCCTCTGCCTGACCTGCTATTCCTAGGAGTTTCCATAGCTTGAGCCTACTAGGAAACAAGTAAAATTAGAAACAGATTAAAATACTGCATCGGCAACAAATTAGATGACAATGGTGTGATCACTCCCTTGGAAGACATTTCTAGCTGGATATTCAGGGTCCAGGGCTATGTGGAGAAAGACCCTAAGACCAAGGGTCCAGCCAACCCCAAGGGGGTGTTGGCCCTGGCAGGTGTCCCAGCGGCTTTCACCTTGGCAGGTGGGAGCATGACCTGTCGTGTGCGGTTCCTGGCGGGCTATACATAGCCAAAGCTTCTTACAAGTGAAACCTCTTTCGCACCCTCCACGGGTCCCTCCCGCAGGTCAGAGGACTGGCTGTAAATCCCTGAACATTGTCTCACCCGAGAAGGGGACACAGCCAGCAGCCCTCCAGCCCTCCGGCGCTTTCCGTGGGAGTGCACCCCGTGCTCAGCCATGGTGGACATGGGGGCCCTGGACAACCTGATCGCCAACACAGCCTACCTGCAGGCCCGGAAGCCGTCGGACTGCGACAGTAAGGAGCTGCAGCGGCGGCGGCGCAGCCTGGCCCTGCCCGGGCTGCAGGGCTGCGCGGAGCTCCGCCAGACGCTGTCCCCGAACTTCCACAGCCTGTGCGAGCAGCAGCCCATCGGCCGCCGCTTCTTCCGAGACTTCCTAGCCACGGTGCCCACATTCCACGAGGTGGCGACCTTCCTGGAGGACGTGCAGAACTGGGAGCTGGCCGAGGAGGGGCCCACCAAGGACAGCGCGCTGCAGGGGCTGGTGGCCACTTGTGCGAGTGCCCCTGCCCCGGGGAACCCACACCCCTTCCTCAGCCAGGCCGTGGCCACCAAGTGCCAAGCAGCCACCACCGAGGAAGAGCGAGTGGCTGCAGTGACGCTGGCCAAGGCTGAGGCCATGGCCTTCTTGCAAGAGCAGCCCTTTAAGGATTTCCTGGTCAGCCCCTTCTATGACAAGTTTCTGCAGTGGAAACTCTTTGAGATGCAACCAGTGTCAGACAAGTACTTCACTGAGTTCAGAGTGCTGGGGAAAGGTGGTTTTGGGGAGGTAAGTGTCACCCAGTAGCCAGGCTAGAAGGTGAAGCATAGAGCGTGAAAGGGGTCAAGTGATGTTGCTTTTCTTTTTTTTTTTTTTTTTAAATCTCGGGAACTTATTTAGAACTAATTTCAGGACCACAGGTGGAGGATTCCTAGCCCGTCTCCCCAGCCCTCTTCCTTGTAGCCACAGGTGTGAAATAAAATACAAATAGCATGAGAGAGACGAGCAAAATGTAGACCTGGCCAAGACTCTCTGTCATGGGTCTCCATCAGGAACGTGCTGAGAAGTCCAGACACTGGAGAACAACAGCCACGTGTGATGAAAGGTCTCCTTTTCCCCTAAATTGTGGTAATGAAGGTAATTTGAGAAAAATGGATATTTAAGAAAACACTCTAACCAGGTGTGGTGGCGCACACCTGTAATCTCCGTTACCCAGGAGGCTGAGGCAGGAGAATCACTTGAGCCCAGGAGGTGGAGGTTGGAGTAAGCAGAGATCGTGCCACCGCGTTCCAGCCTGGGTGACCAAAAAAAAGAAAAAAGGAAACACTGATTTTGAAGTAAGGAAACATTGATCTTGAGAACCTGTTTTGCACCACTGCTGTGCCCAGCTCTTCCTGTTTTTAAGTAATAAAAAATATTTCAAATAAAATTTGCTTTATATGAAACAAACCATTAACCGTTTTAAAATGTACAATGCAGTGGCACTTGGTGCATGTACAATTATGTTGGGTAACAAACACCTCCGTGTAGATCCAAGACGCTTTCATCACCCCTGTACCTACTGGCAGTGCCTGCCCATCCCCCTCCCCTGCAGCCCTGCCAACCACTAGTCCACTTTCTGTCTCTAGGGATTTGCCTATTCTGGATGTTTCACACAATATCTGACCTTCTGTGTCTGGCTTCTTTCATTCATTATAATGTTTTGGGGGTTCATTCACACTGTAGCATGTGTCAGTACTCCATTCCTTTTTATGGCTGCATAATATTCCATTGTATGGATATACTACGTTTCATTTAGTCATTCATCTGCTGATGGACACTTGGGTTGTTTTCGCCTTTTGGCTATTGTGTGTGGTACTGCTATTCATGCACAAGTATTTGTTTGAATACTTGTTTTCATTTCTCTTGGATGTATGCCCAGGAGTGGAATTGCTAGGTCATACGGTGATACTATGTTTAACTTTTTAAGGAGCCACCAAACTTTCCACATGTTTTATTCCCACCAGTGATACTCAAAAGGTTCAATATCTCCACATCCTTGCCAGCACTTGATATTTTCCTGTATTTTTTTATGAAGGCCACCCAGTGAGGTGAAGGAGTATCTCACTGTGATCCCCACTGTTTCTTGAGAACACTTCTTACTTACAGCTTCTCCTCTCTCCACAGCCTGCCGTCTTTCCACCCACCTCCTCCATCACCTTCTCTCCGCCTCTCTCCAGTGCCATCTACCTCTACCTCTTCCTCTTCCTTTCTTTCTCCTTCAAGGTATGTGCCGTCCAGGTGAAAAACACTGGGAAGATGTACGCCTGCAAGAAACTGGACAAGAAGCGGCTAAAGAAGAAAGGTGGCGAGAAGATGGCTCTCTTGGAAAAGCAAATCTTGGAGAAGGTCAGCAGCCCTTTCATTGTCTCTCTGGCCTATGCCTTTGAGAGCAAGACGCATCTCTGCCTTGTCATGAGCCTGATGAACGGGGGAGACCTCAAGTTCCACATCTACAATGTGGGCACGCGCGGCCTGGACATGAGCCGGGTGATCTTCTACTCAGCCCAGATAGCCTGTGGGATGCTGCACCTCCATGAACTGGGCATCGTCTACCGGGACATGAAGCCTGAGAACGTGCTTCTGGACGACCTCGGCAACTGCAGGTTATCCGACCTGGGGCTGGCCGTGGAGATGAAGGGAGACAAGCCCATCACCCAGAGGGTGAGTGACTCTCCACCTGCCCCAAGTATGGGGCACAGAGTGGGAAAGGAGGGGAGAGGGCTGTTCTGTTCCCAAGGCAAGCAGAGCCTTGGACTTAATTCCTTTGGTTTTTTTTTTTTTTTTTTTTCCTAAAGCGCTTACGTTGTCATCTTGCCTTAAGAGGAGGGGTGTAAGAGGATTAGCTTCATTGGCTATTTGGGGGCTACTTTGTTCTCCTCTCACCTGGAATGGGGGAGCCTTCTTTGTGACTGGGGATGGCCTGTGCCTTCATGGTGAGATGGAAAGAGCTGAATCCATAGTCAGGGTCCGGATGTGTCCCATCAATAACCACCTCTGTGGTGCTGTGTTCCTGAGCCCATGGAGCCTTGGTTTCCTTTTCTGGAAAATGAGGGGGCTGGACTCTAAAATTCCATGATCCTAGGAGGTAAACTTTAATCGGATAAGAAAAAGAATGATCCGGCTGGGTGTGGTGGCTCACGCCTGTAATCCCAACACTTTGGGAGGCTGAGGCGGGTGGATCTCCTGAGGTCAGGAGTTCAAGACCCCCCTGGCCAACATGGTGAAACCCCATCTGTAGTAAAAATATAAAAATTAGCCGGGTATGTTGACTGGCACCTGTAATCCAAGCTACTTGGGAGGCTGAGGCAGGAGAATTGCTTGAACCCGGGAAGCAGAGGTTGTAGTGAGCCGAGATCACACCACTGCACTCAAGCTTGGGCGACAGAGCAAGACTGTCTCAAAAAGAAAGAAAGAAAGAAAAAGAATGATCCTCTCATACCCAGAACTTTAAAAGTAAAATATCTCCTTTTCTGTTTAGCGTGGAATGGGGGAATGTTTTGCATTGGATGAAGATGAAATTTTAAATGAAAATATGTAGAAGAAAATTTTGATCAGTTTGGTTCAAAGTGACTTGCTAATAATTCTTTGGTTGAAAGGGAATTATAATTAAGCAATTATGTTAAGTGAACAATGGAAAATCTCTGGAATTCTAACATCTTTACCTCTGAGTTTCTGTGCACAAATGTGGGTGATTTCACAGGAAGACAAGGGCTCAAACCTGGCTCTCAAATGCTTACTTAAAACCTTATTTTTGTACAGTTTTCAGCCTACATGGCACAAAGGAAATGAGAAAAATCATGGCAAGTTTGGGAAACTGCTGTGGTGATTTTATGTGGCTGTAATGGAAGGGATATTGACAAGACATGAAGGGCTGGGCCTACATAGGCACTGTAATGCCTTCTTGTAGGGGAAGAGGGGCTCTTGAGGGGTTATAAGAAGGGAGATGACATGATTAGATTTCTGTCTTAAAAAGATCAATGCGGCCGGGCGCGGTGGCTCAAGCCTGTAATCCCAGCACTTTGGGAGGCCGAGGCGGGTGGATCACGAGGTCAAGAGATCGAGACCATCCTGGTCAACATCGTGAAACCCCGTCTCTACTAAAAAAATACAAAAAATTAGCTGGGCATGGTGGTGCATGCCTGTAATCCCAGCTACTCAGGAGGCTGAGGCAGGAGAATTGCCTGAACCCAGGAGGCGGAGGTTGCGGTGAGCCGAGATCGCACCATTGCACTCCAGCCTGGGTAACATGAGTGAAACTCCGTCTCAAAAAAAAAAAAAAAAAAAAGATCAATGCAGCAACAATTTGGAAGGTAGACAGGAGGTGGGGAAGTTAGGAGGCTAAAGTAGTGAGTGGCCCAGGCAAGAGATAATGGGGGTCTGTAGAGGACAGTGAGATTGAAGAAGTGGGAGCAAACTGGAGCTCTTGCAAAGAGATCTGATGGGACTTCAGGACCAGCTGGGTATGGGGGTCAGGGAAGGTGAGGGTCTCTAGCTCCAGCAGCCAGAAGGAAGAGCAGATTGATAGGCAAGCTGGCAAGATTAATTGTGATTATGTTGTCTATGAGGTTCCTGTAGAAGGGGCAGGTAGAGATTGTTCACTGGGCATTTAGACCTGTAGGCCTGGCGCTGGGGAGAAAGACCTGGGATAGACATGAGGATTTGGAGTCATCATGGTCTGGGAAGCACAGGGCACTGCTGAGTCACCGGGAAAGAGCGAGGGAAGAAGACCAGGAACAGACGCTGAAAAACACCAACATGTATGGGATATAGAAGAAAAGGGCCCTGAAGAGGTTTAAGAAGTAGTAGGAGGCAGGAGTGGCATAGTCATGGCAGCTGTGTCAGTTAGAGATGGATTTCAGCTGCATATCCTAGAAAACCCAAATAACAACAGATTAAACAAGACAGAGGTTTATTTTTCTTGTGTAACATGGTATGAAAACAAGCAGTTGCCAGCATTAATTCAGCAGCTGCAGGATAACAGGATCTGCTCTTTATAATTTTAGACTTTTCCACATGTTGCAAGATGGCTGCTGTAGCCCCAGCCATCAGGGCCATGTTCCAGGCAGGAGAAAGGAGGAAGGGTCAGGAGTAAATGGGCATGCGTGCAGCAGTTGACTGTGCCCCCTCTTTAAGGAGCTTTCCTTGAAGCTTCATCCAACAGCTTTTGTTCAGATATCACTCGCTGGGACTATGATCTGGCCACCCCCTAGCTGCCGGGGAAGCTGACAAATGACATTCTTGAACATTCTTTGGTTAAAAAGGGAGTGATAATTAAGTAATTATAATTACTGAATTATATCTGGGCTGAGTAGAAGATCACCCAGCTCATGTCCAGGTCATGTGTGCCCATGTTGTAGATGTGGAACTTGGAGCGGGTGAGGAAGGGGGTTCTAGTTAGTAAGGATGAAGAAAGCCTGGATATTGAGCAGGTAACTAGCAGCCTCTGCCACAGGAGCCAAAGAAGAGGATTTCAGGGAGGAGGGTGTGGTCAAAGTGTCAAGTACTGCAAAGTGGGATTTGGTGATTAGGAAATCAGTGTCAGGACATGAGGTCTCAACTCAGACTGTGGAGATGGGATTGATCTAGAAGTAGGGAATGAGACTCTGGAAAGGAAGACTGGTCCCTAAAAGGAGACTGTTATGTATAAAATTTTTCTTTTTGGTGTTGCAAAGAAAAATTAGTACTGGCACAAAAGATCTCTCAGCAAAGCAATTCTTTTTACTTCCTGCAGAAAGGGTGCTCCCACTAGCAATTTTGCCAGGAGAGTACAATGAACAAAGGAAAGCAGACAGATTTATTTCTTACATGTTTCGGATTGTCCTTACTGCTGTGTCTGGTCTTCACTGGCTGGAGCCAGATCTCACAATCTAAACTAAAACCTGATTGGCTAATAACTTGAAACTTTTCTAAACAGGTAAAAGCAATGGAGAGGAAAAAAAAAAAATAAGTCCAAATAAGGAAGGGACATAGACTTCGAGCTGGGACGTGCCTGTGAGCAGGTCCAGCACAGATGTCTTGGTTAAAGTACAAGGACATAGAATGTACTATGTGCCTGTAAGCATGTCTAACAGCTACACAGGATAGGGCTTTTAGCAAAAAGGCAAGAAGGCTTTTGAAGAAAGTGTTTAAAACAAACTATTATTTCTAACGCTTAAGAATTTTTCTTAAACAAGAAAGGAAACTTTGAAGAGGAACTTTTTTTGACTTCCCACAGGGACACAGTGGGGAAATGGAGTTTTGAGATGGGGAGGGCACAGCAGGTTTAGATGCGGAGGCAAAAGCCAGCAGAGATGTTGATCCTGTGGGAAGGAAAGACAGTGGATGATGGCAGAGTGCGGGGAGGAGCTGAAGTAACACTGTCTCTCTCGTGGGTGGGAAGGAGGAGCTGGCCTTGGGACATTCCTGTGAACACAGGAACGCTGTGAATCATGGATCCACGTCCGCCTAGGCTGGAGAAAACTGAAGTGCAGCCCTGCACAGTTTGGCATTTGTATTGTCCATTGTGCATAGCAGGGGGGTTCCTTGTGAGTCGCCCGTGGACAGGTATCATGCTAATTGTTGCTGTATCTCCACTTGCTGGAGGCTTAGGGGACACACAGAGCTTTGGCTCTCTCCGGTCTCCCTTCTCTGTCTCCCTGGGCTCTGTTCATGGGCCATGGCCATTTGGAAGGACAGTTCCTTCCATGGCTCCTGTGTGCAGCTCTCTGGCTCATTTGGAACCTGCAGGGAGCTTTCTGTGCCTCCCCAGTGCGGTCCGCTACCAGGCACGTGCTTAGCAGAGAGGTTCACTGCCTACAGACCTTCAGCCCTTTTACCTCTGCATCCCTTTCTGTCCCGTGAGACCACACTTTGGGGTTTAGACCACTTGCCTCAGCCAAGAAGTTTTATGCGCCAGTTTCCAGGCCTGCCACGGAAGCCCAGGGGACCATCAGCAAGGGTGAGGGGAGGGAGATGGAGAGCAAGATTGGAAGCCGTAAAAAACAGAGAGGAGAAAGGAGGGTCTGCTTTCTTCACTGTTTACCCTCCTACACAGCTAAGCAAACACCCTTACTTTCCTCTTCATTGCAGCTCCCACACATACAATTGGGCTCCCAAGTACATTGTAAGGTCAGTATATTCACATTTCACAGAAAAAAATGACAGATAACATACAGGGCTTCTGTAACCACTAATATTCAGTTGTGATGTCAAGATACTATGTTAAAGAATGACTGTAAACATTCATTCTGTGGTTTGAATGAGTCCTCAAAGTTTGATGTGTTGGAAACTGAATCTCTAATGTGGCAGTATTGGAGAGGTGGGGCCTTTAAGGGGTGAGTGGATCACGAGGGCTCTGGCGTTGTGAATAGATTAATAGATTAATGAGTTATCACGGGAGTGGAATTGGTGGCTTCATAAGAAGAGGAAGAAAGACCTGAGCTAGCGCATCAGCACGCTCAGCCCACGTGGTGCCCTGAGCCATGTCAGTACTCCTCAGAGAGTTCCCACCAGCTAGAAGCCTCTCACCAGACATGGCCCCTTGACCTTCCTTTCCTTATAAAATGCTCAGTCTCAGGTACTGTGTTATAAGCAATGGAAAACAGGTTAAGACAGAAGAAGTGACAAGGAAAAATAACCCTGAAGATGGAGGTTGAACTCTGCATTAAGTCCGAGTGGTTCTT